CACATGCGCGCAAAGTTCAGTATAGACTGCAAATTTTCCAAGTGTTTACCATACGTTTTTCCTAAATTAGCATTACAAAGCGCGGCTTCCACAATTTCTCGAAATGGCAGCAAATGAGTTCCACTCTTTCCCATTAAATCGTTTGTGTTCTCAGAAATTCTACGAGATGAAACATTAATCTTGTCACCGTGTGGCACTTTTCGGACTCAATTCATTAGTTTCCCGTCGCTTATTTCTTTCTTTTGCTTAAAATGTGCCTCACATAAACGAGACTCTTAATGGCAATACGCAAAATAACTTAGGCAAGGAAACGTTGATGAGATGAATTTGCTGGCAAATAAAAAATAGTTCACATATACGCATTGACACAATTTTTTGCTATTACGCTATTAATTTGAATATTTCATATAAACGTGTAGAGGAAATCACACGAATTTTGAGAATAGCACTACAGTATTTGCTTGGCAAAACTGTTGAATGGCATGTATTCGTCTGCTTAGAGAAAATTTAGTAGATATGTTATCGAACCAAGGCGTCACTACGCCAAGACTAAGAGTAAAGGCAGCGACTAATAAAGGCATACCAGCTTACCGAGTCCAAAGCGTCACAACTTCAAGCCACTTCAGAAGTAAAGGCAGAGATTAATAAAGGCAAGCCAGCGGACTGAAACCAAGGGGCCGATACGGCAAGACGCTTCAGAAGTAAAGGCAGCGATTAATAAAGGCACACCAGCGGATTGAAACCAAGGCGCCAATGCGGCAAGACGCTTCAGAAGTAAAGGCAGCGATTAATAAAGGCAAACCAGCGGACTGAAACCAAGGGGCCGATACGCACGACGCTTAAGAAGTAAATGCTGCGACTAATAATGGCGAGCCAGTAGACCGAGACAAAGGATCCCAGCCTAGACCTCATTACGTGATGGAGGAACTGGCCCATTGACCCAGCTCATGGAAGACGATGGCTCTGTAGCGTGTCATTAGGACCTATGGAACATTACACACTTCTGTTCATGCGGTCTTTGACTGCAATTTATTGGAGAAAATTGCCATGCGGACTCTCACAAGACACACTGAATATGACCAATAACTTTGAAGTAATGAGATCTAAGATATCGATCAAGCTCAGGCTAAGGTATCCTATCTTTCTTTTCACTACATGCAGAAAACTAATAACAACGGCAAATTTGCAGATTCATTTCTGTGCATATCTGATTTTTTACTATATCTGCATCTACGTACAACGATGCCTCGATAAATATAGAAAGAATGAGGTTCTAGGGCCTATAAATGTCATTACTGTAATTGCACAAACGTTGCTACAGAATTTTCATAATCGATGAAGCGCAATTAACCCAATCAATTAAAGTGTCAGCTAGAACACTATCATTATTCACCGTGTCACTGTTACTATCTGCCAATGATCGTAAATTTTTTGACTCGCATAAGCAGCTTCTCATCACATTTTCTCAAACATGAGCGTGCTTTTTAATGGGAAAACATTTTTTCGACGGGAATAATTAACTTGAGCCTCCATAGATCTTTGATGCGATGCTGCTTTAAAACATCTAAACTTAAAAACATGATTCAAACTTCAAAGACATTGCTCTAAAGCGTATATATAACAGATTATTTAGATACTAATTATATTTATCCCGAGCATATAACTATACTCGGTTTTGACCGAGATTATTAAAGAAATAAACTTAACTGCGAACATTATGCAAATTTTACTTAAAATTATATCATTCATATTTTAACATCCCTTACTGACGTAGCAAATCAAGCCTTTATTACCAGCTAATAATAACAATAATGATATTCATCCCAAATTAGGCTCAAATTATCAGTGTTTTTATTCATAATATTCATGAATTATAACTGTTATTTACTCAAGATCCGCGCAGTTCTTTATAAGTGGTACAATAATCTTTCATCCTGTATTCATACTCGCCACATTCAAGGCTTTTTACCGCCGTTAGGTCGCTCATCAAGTTATTCATGGCTGCGGTTATTGGAAGATATCGTCGTCTTAATAATTACATGCAAATTTATTCTAGTGGACGGGGGAGCGTTTGAAACCTCGCTCCTCGAGACCTATAACATCTTGCTGACAGCTTTCTTACTTTCCAAACTCTTCAACTTAATCAGCAGACAGCAATTCTTGTCAAAACTGTTTTACCTTTATAGACATTCGTGAATTTTATCTTAGCAATGAACTAACAGGAAAAGTTTATTAATTAAAAGATAGATATAGCACCTTGAAATTCGTTATTTTACCTGCAAATTGTAATTCTTGCATTTTTATTCATTTGATTTTTTTTGTGCTTCAGTATCCCGCTTCATTTATCTTGAGCGCGAGCCTTGAGTGAAACTCAAGGCTCTTACCGATGTTCAAGAATCTTTAATTCGCGTCTACTCGTCTTATGAGCATCACTTGCCTGCACAACATCGTGAACTTCTTCTTTTGAAGGATTTTTGAAATTCGGTAACTGTTTTGATTACCTCAAGTTTAATTTAACGGTTCAATTTTAGGCAGTAAAAATTGAAATATTTTTTATGCACTATTAAAAAATAAGGCCATAATAAATTTTACAATAAACATGGATTGAGTACTACCAATTTGCATGCTCGCACGTTAAAACTCAATAACATTCATCCATATCAATAATTTAGTTGCACAAATTCCTCAAAAAAGTTTACGAGCATCTACAAAAGGACACGAATGGTCCTTTTGTATTGCCGTGCTCCTCGGAATATTTCAATAACTGCCCATCACTCACACACGATAAAAATATATATATTTTTCATATATAACATTTTATAACCAATTTATGACTTTCCAGCTCGTATTTCACTTGGCAAAGCCGCCATTAAGAAACCCGTCTGGTTTTTTCCCCGCAGCCCTCTCAGGTGCAGTCGTCATTATGCTCCTTTGAAAAGTTTTCACAAACTTTCTGCCGTATTTTCCTGACCATAAAACGATTTTCTGGGCCTCAATCTTACAAAACTCGCAGCCAAAAATTCAGTAAAAATTTGCCTCCAACAAAATTTTTTGTCTCTGACCAGTAAGTCCTTCAAAGATTTCATGTACCGGCGAGTGCAGAATTGGAAATAGGCCAATCAGGCCTATAGAATTTCGAATTAAAAGCAATGTCTGAAATAAACAGTCAAGATTACCATTACCTGAAAATGGCAAGAAGTCATTACCAGGCTTCTTGCCTATTTTCCAGGTATGTAATTGCAAACCAAAATATATCAAGTGTCAAGATATTCGTGGAATATAACCTTGTGCAGGCTCAATAATTAACATAAGGAGCACCTTGTAATCAGATAGAGTTGCCAGTGCGCCATTTATAATTCATCTGTTTACGCATTCACCTGCAGGTCTTTCAAAACAAGTGGTTAATCTTGAGGACTTTAGGAACAATTTGGTTCTTTACGAAGCATAAATATAATGGGATGAAGTCAAAACAAATGATAATCATAGATATTTTTAGGACGGGTATGAGCAAATTTCAGGCTCTAACATTTGACTGATGAAGTATCGCATCAATTATCGAGAAAAACACTTAAGGTTCTTTTGGCTTCTTGTTGCTTTACATTTTTTATCTATTCATGTTTAGCTTTCTTTGTAAACAAAGTTCATTTCCTATATAAGCGTCCGGTAAACTATTTGAATTCATTATACTTTCGCTCCTCAGAGCAACAGGATAGAATTCTTAAGGCCAAAATCTACAAGCTTCTAAGTTGATTTGAGAGACAGAAGTTTGAAGGCTAACAACGAACTTTTATTTCTCCGAAATTAGCTCACACTTCGATGGAGATCCATTTTGAAGTTGTTATTTATAAATGTCTTATGTTTCGACTGTTCTTATGTTTCGACTGTAGTTTTTTTTCGCTTTTTTGAATATAAGGTGTCAACCTGACACAATCATATTGTACATCGCAAATCTTTGATCATTTATTAGGAGTAATTTTAACGAATAAAGGGCCACTTCATAGATTTTCTCGTCAGTTTTGTCGCCAATATCAAGTTGCTTCTCGCCCATTAAAACAAGTAGAGAACTAAAATGATCGGTGATAATTAATGAATCCTCAATTAGAGTAGGACCAGCAACACACTCAACTCTTGCACAACGTATGTACAAAGTGGATATAAACCACGACGTACAGGCGTCTGCTAAACGTTCCTAGTATGATCTGGATCGTCGATGTTATTGTTCGAGACATGAAGAGCTTGCGCTCTCGGCTGTTTTGCCAGACAATCACCAATTCCTAAATACAGGCCACCATAGGAGCGAGTCACTGAAGCGCAAAGCCCCCCTGGCTGGAATCATCCAGAATGATTCCGTAAATTCCTGCGCTATTTGGTTATTCACGCAAGATTCTCTGCACAATTTAGGGCCTGGTGTTGGAGAAAAGCCAAGTTTGCCCAGTTTTTCTGTGGGGAATAGAATTAAACGGACTTTGTGTCGAATTTCTTATTGTATTTGTTATTTTATTCGTCCGTATTTGACTGCCTTATTCGTTTGGGATTCGCGATCTCCTGCTGCACTTTGGTTGCAAAAAAGATTTATAAATTCTTATGATCATAGACAAATGTTAACTAGTAAAGCATAAGTTTAAATCAATATCTGTCATGATTAATAATTCATCGTGTATAATTCAGATCAAGCTCATCCGGAATATTTATGCCATAGAATGAACAAATTAAACTTATATCGGCTCGAAATATTCAGCGCTATTTTAGGTTTTAAAACATGATAACATAACTGTAACAACAGGCTTAACAATTGACGGGTTTCATTTTATTTCGAAAATCTATGTTTATTTTGTAGAGCGCCCAACCGCAGCCATACTTCTCATAATAGTTGAGTGGCACAGTGGACAAAAATTTCGTCGATTTTTTTTTCGTGAATAAGTGTTATGTAACGGTGTTAAAATCTAATAAATCACATAAAAACAAAATCAAATCTTTTTAAAACAGAGTTGTTATTGGATATGGATGAATTTCAAGGCAAGACTTTGCATCTGGCGACTGACGTGGACGATTTTCCTCTGGTTTACGAGTTGGAGGACGGCACCGTAACTGGACTTAACATTAAGATCATCGCGGAACTCGCACTTCGTTTCAACTTCTCGTTCACGACTACGAAAAAATCACCCGACTTCCTTTGGGGAAACTGCGACAACGATTCCTGGTCTGGGCTTTTAGGTCTTGTGCAATCCGGCCAAAAAGAGCTCACCATTAACTATTTTTCAATGGCACTTGATCTGAAACCGCATGTGCATTTCGACGCGTCCATTCCTTATTTTTGGGAAGGATTCGGGTTTGCTTTGAAAATGCCGCCGCCTCAGCCTCCGTGGAAGAACCTCCTCAGCCCATTTCAAATTCAAGTGCGTTTACTCATTTAAAAATGGGCTTTTACTGCTCTATAGAAACAAACTAGGCTCATTCAAGGTTCATTTAAAAAATTATAAATTGGAGTTTCCTATTCAACTAGATAGTTTCGCATTCAATTTTATATTTACTTCATTCAGGAACCGAATCAAAATTAAGGGACCTTCATTAGGCACGCTTGTTTTCTTTATAAATGCGAATGCATATATATGTCCTTATGGCAGCTGTTTTTTACATTCATCTTCCTATATGGGAGGGAATAGGCGTAGTCTAATAAAAAATATGTGCTGCCCACAACACTGGATGAGCTACATATATTGTATTGAAAGTGAAAAGTTTTGAATAGATTAATTATTGATAATAATTACTAATAATTATTTTTTATTTAGTTATTTATTAATTAATTATTTATTAACAAAATTAATTATTAATAATTAATTTTTTGATAATAATTAATTTATAATAATTAGGTATTAGTATAAATTATTTCATGTATTGCCTCATAGGTTTGGATGTCAGTGCTGCTGATCGTGCTTGTCGTGCCAGCTTTCATGTGCGCTCTGTATTGGCTGAGCTTCGGTGACATCATGGCTCGCAGGATGAGGGCATCTGATATTTACATCCAACACTTGATGGTTTAATTACTATAAAGAATTAATGTTATTCAACCATCTTAATTCCATCATTATTATTCGTAAAATACTCATAATTACTCCCTTGAGGTTGACATTAGTTTTTGCATTTCGATGCAGAATTCCTTCTGATTTTGAAAGTGAACAGAATTAACATTTTATATGTATAATCATGGGATGAAATTGTTTATTTTTATATAATGTTTGATGTCTATTCATAGAATAATTACTGGAGTATGAGCATTAACACGAAGTATCCTACGTTACTTCTTCCTCGCAGGGATTTCTTCAACAAAGTGTTTCGGTTACGCCAAGCAGCCCTGGCTTGCGTATGGCGAATTTCACATGGTGGCTGTTCTGTCTTCTCGTCACACTTTATTATTCATCAAACCTTTTCGCTGTACTCACCGTGCCTGTGTTTCCTCAAAGACTGTCGACTGTAAAAGACCTAGAGAAAAGCGGCCTCAGGTCTGGCTGTTTTTTGAAATGATGATAATTACCATTGGAATCATTTGTGATTTTATTGAAAAAGCTGTTACACCATTGGGTGATACGTTTCTTGTAAGTATGCTGAAAAAATTATTGAAATTCTCGGAAGCTCAATTTTTCGAAAACATTCCTATAGAAAAACATCCCTATAGAAAAGCGTTCACTTGGACTCAAATAATTCAAATAAATTTTTTTGAATTTCTTCTTCTTTTTCGTCAAAATAATTTATTTGCTTCAGACTTGCGATGGTGTACTACGGAGAATTTCTGAGCGAAGCTTTGCTGACATCTGGGAACGCAGATCTCGAGGCCCTGGGGAGGCGGATGGATCTGATAGAACTCCCTGACGCAGACTCCGCGCGTCACTACCAGCAACTTCTGCTTTATATGAAGAGTGGATCACACGCCATTACTGAGACTTTCTCCTTCCTGCAGTCAGTCTTAAATGTGCCGAATTTGAGAAATGAATATCATTTCTAGAGTTAATATTATGGGATAGGAATGCAGTGTTAATGCAAATTCTAAGCACGATCAAGGTATTATCGATAAGTTATTACAAATAATTTGGCCTCAAACGTGAAAATCGAATAGATTTTTAGTTACATATCTTTCGAAAAATGTAGTATCGAGCGCGTAGAATTTTCAACAAATTCATGGAAATGGGTGTAAGATTTGTATTGACTAAAAAAATCAGAGAATAAACCGTCTTAAGACCTTGTATTGACATTGTATGGCGTCACTTTTCTAATATCTTCGTTTTGTATTTTTGTCTAATATTTTCGTAATTTATTTTTTCTATTATTTTCGTACACAGGGCGCTGCTCCGCAGAAGTAACTCGTCCCACTACCTACTCAAGGAGCAAATTTTCTCAGGGCCTTTGGTGTTCTTCTTCCGCAAAGGCTCTCGCTGGAGGAAGAAAATCAATAGTGGCATACGGAGGCTCACCGAGGCAGGAGTGATCCAGAAATGGTACAAAGATTTAATGGAAAACCGAAAAAACGAACCTGACAAGACAACTCATCCTAGTGGTCTCACCTTGTACCATCTGCAAGGTCCCTTTTTGTTGTTTGTATTGGAAAACGCTGTCGCTGCGGCCACGCTTGTTGCTGAAATTTTAAGCTACAAGTATAGCGAGCGGTTCAGGCAACGCAATGAGTCCAATGAAAGTGCAAACTGATTAAAATTTTTTAAAACATTTGAAACGTAAAATATTCCATGTAGTGAGAAATAGATGTTCTTGAAAGGCGGTATTTGATTATGGTCCTTTTTATAAATTTAATATATACTTTATTTCATAAAACTATTACCAAAAACAAGAATATACCTTAAATTTATCCACTACTACGGTTCTTATTCCCAACAAATAATTTATTTATGCACTATGCTAAGTTGTATTGAATGAAATTCATGGATTTCTCAAGTAAACATTTCGGTGGAAAAACTTGGCATAAAATATTTGAGTTTAAGCTTGAAGTGAAAGGGAAGTACTATTAAATTCTTATTGTGTATTCTTAGGGTAGAACTTTGCCACCAAGTTGAATGCAAACGGCAACAGAAATAAATAATGAACTTAAATGGGCGGCCTTTTAGCGGGAACCTAAGACGTGCTTTTAAGTGCGTCTGCGACATCGGAAATTCGTTACTAAAACGCTTTGTCGGAGAGCGCTGCTCAGAAAATCGGTTGCATTCTATTTGAGAAGATATGTGAAATTGTAAAATTAATGTAATAGTAATTGCTATTATTCACAAAGAGCCAACTTCTTTGCGTATCGTCGTGCACTTCAAATGACTTTCATTAATTCCGAAATTTTTAATATTGAAAATAATTTTGAAATCAATGTACTTATCTCCTGCTGTGGGTTATAAAATAAATACGTGCGAATGATTTCAAATTGATGTATTGCTTAGTCTTCGTTCGTTCCATTTTAATCTTTAAACAGTTATTTCAGAATTTTATTCAATTATAAACACAAATATATATGTAAGGAATAAAGTCTTCCTGAATTTATTCCTACATCGTAGTTCTGCATCTACGAATATAAATGCGCGATAAATTCATTAAATCATTATTTCTCATGCTGAAGCCACCTCGTATAATTCAGATCAACTTGATAAGAAACATGAAGGACCCAACCCTATGACACTTCTGTACAAAAATTAAGGGTTGCTTTTAATACATTTTCGTTTTAATTCCTGCTGGAAAAATGTTTTTTCTTATTAATCCAACGAAACAAATAAGGAGAAAGGCAAAATAAAAATAAGTAATTAAATCGTTCAAAAACATGTCTCACAATTAATATTTATTTACTCATTCATCTAATGAAGGAAATAAGAAGGCAAATAAAATTGACAAATAAATAATTTGTTCCAAAACATATATCGTAATCCATAAGCGTGTCAGCAGCGCTTTTTGCCACAACGTTGCTGGTCCAAGAAGCGCGCGTGTCAACAGCCTCCTCTGCCGCCGTGTCCATCCTCTACAAACAAGCAAACGAGGCTCTGTAAATATTGACGCCATGGCGATTTTAACTGAAAATATTTCCTAATGATTTATGGATTTAGGGAGGTATTACTGCTAATGGATTGAGGGACGTTTTACAGCTAATGGATTCGATAGAAACGGTAGTCTCGCATTCAATAAGGACAGATTTTATTCTGGTACTTATATTCTGTGAAGAAATTTATTTTCAACAATGTGGCATGAGGATGGAAGCGAAATAAAGCAGCAGTTTTGTACCTATTGCTTCAAAGATTAATATCCGTCAGTGTGGATGGAGCTTACGCCACTGGAACATGGATTTATAATACCAAAATTCATTTTCAAGCATGTTCAAAAGCCATCGCAGGATTTTCATTAGTTTTAGAAATCATTTGAGGATCTAATCGTGTTGGAGCAGCCGCTACTCGCAAGTGAGAGCTCTTCTCTTCAAGTCAGGAGTTAGCGGCCATTTGAAGGCTTGGTCGTCGTCTCGCCTTTACTTTAAGGTCCTCAAAATTTTTCTGGTGTGCCGACCTAATCGACCGGGCAGGAAGGGAGAAGCCAATTAGCTGCCAACGGTAGCATTAACTCGACTGATGGGTCGCTCGTCTTCATTAATGAGTCGGAAACAATTAAATAAGGACCTGATGTCCAGGCCGAGCGTTGGACTATTGTATATCAGATACTTTTACTCCTCTCTAGAAGCGAAGGAATTCTCGTGTCAGAGTAATTCTGGCCGCACCGCTTGCGACACTTCTTGAGCTGCAGCAGCAGAGTTATAGGTCTCTTAAAACCGCCTGCTGCAGATCGTATATTTAAGCGAAACTTTATGGAGCAGATGTTAAACTTAATGGTTACTATGCAAATTGTAAGAAATTTGCATCACCTTATTCCGCTGCTAGGCATTGCGCTCGTTCTTATTATTTAAATTCACATTTTTAAATGTATTTCTTACAAAAAAAAGACTTATTTGTTTGCCGCTGCGTTCAGAAATTAATATTAGAATTAATATTATCAATCACTATTATCAATATTAGAATTAATTTTGATTTTGACATTAATATTAAAATTAATATTATTACTGTACAAAACATTCACGTATAAACGAATTTCGTGCTCAAATTTTAATTTGACAGGTATAACACTTATATATATCATAAATGACATGATAGCATAAATGTCGTCATTTCTTAATAACTTGAAAATATATGTATTTAATTGAATGAAAAACAAAATTACGTCCCACATGCAATTGTTGAGACAACCGAGTATTATCCAAAAAATTATACGCACCGCACCCTATTCAATGATGAATTATTAAATCAACACCATGACGAAATTATGAAAGTTACTTGCCTCGTTTTTGTTGGCAACTTGAGCCTGTTTACTTTTGGCGCGGCTCAGCAAACGAGCGAAGTAGATACCCCTGTTGATCCTGCGCAAGCGTTTAACCTTTTGAAGACAAAACTCGACAATCCCCGAGCCTTGGAACTTTCAGCTCAAGGCCAAAGATGCAGCAACATTGTCAGTGAAGGTTTGCATTTACGCGGGCCATCTTCGGAGAGCTTTGTTGTTCTTCTCTGTTTGCAGAGCTGAGCCAAGGTTGCCCGGATGCTCTAATGGAATTATGTCCAGAAGCATTTTTTGGGAGCCTTTTGCCCATGAAAGTACGTCATCATGGCACTGGAACTTCTTGTACTGTACTGAGTGTGCTGTCATAACATTGTATATCTAAATTGTGATTAATCTTTGCAATAGATGAATATGTTATGCGATTAAAAAATTTGTATTGCACGATATTTTGTGATTTTTTGCAATGTAGCTGGAACCAGTGTATTAATTAACGCACCTTAATGCCATCTGGATGCAAGTTTCACTTTCGCCATTTCCACGCGATCATTTTAAGGCTATAAAAGAATATGTTACAATAAAAAAACAGAGGCAGGAAGACACACATTGAAACAAACTTCGAGTGTCATTTTAATGATGAAGCATTTCACCGTAAATAATGTACAGGAACAAGGTAGTGGAACGTTCGGAAACGCCTAAGTTTCAGCAAATGTTTTGACAGCCAGAGCAGCGTGAGATCTTGGGTTTGTCTCCAGATATGTCGTATTTGGGGCACTACAGAAGGACTCGTAATAGAGTTCCGGAAACAACTCGGCTCAAGCCTTCTTTGAAGTTTGACTGTCTTTGGTATCCTAGCGTTCGTGAGTCTGCTGGAAGGGAAGGACTTGACCTACCTGACCATCTCCAAGTTGACGTTCACACTTCTAAACTTTTTGAATACCATATTTTCTTCGCCACCTGCAACCTATTGGTTACATTGGCTCCGTTTTATATTACTATTATTTCTCAATATATAGATATATATTTCATGATTTTAACTTAGAAAAACGGAAATCACTTTCAAGCGGAGAAATTATGCAACGTAAAATGTCAAGAGCTTGTACTGAGATTAAAGTTTCCCGGGAAATGACAGAAATTTTCTTTTTATGCGGTGGATTGCAAATGTTTAAGTGGTCGTGCTATTCGTCTTGTAGATGCATAAGCAAGTTATAGCATAAAGGTATTCCATAAATCAAATAGAGCATTCCACATCAGCGTGTATTTATTTATTATGGTAGTTTCTTTCTTACTTTTTCTCTCGAGAAATGAATTTAACAATCAATGTTTAAAGCTTCAAGTCTAGACGATACAGAGCTCCGAACACGAGTCGTTTGTAAACATTTTTTCATTTCAACCGTCATGGATTTCAACTTCTGGTTGTTGTAGTCATAAATATTGCTCTGACTGTTGTGATATTTTCATTAATAATAACTCTAGTCAACTAAATGTTGAGGCGAGGCATAACGTGAATCCCAGACAGCAGGGATTCACAGCATTGTATCCAATTTTGAATTGAATTTACAGCATTGCATCCACTTTCTCCACAGCTAAATAATTCTTTTACATATTGAACGACACATCCTACTTTAAATCTAGAATGAAAGTCATCGACTCGACCTGAGAGTACAAATGTAAAGCGATTTTTTTCCTTTACGGAGTGAAATATCATCTTGCATAATGTAGGCTTTGATCGGCGAGGTGCTATAAAACTTTGAAATTTTGGTCTAGTTCTTGTACTCGTTAGAATTCATTGGGCGTAGGCGATAAAATGGGATGGGATCACCGAACTGAGGATCAAAGACATCGTTTTATCGTTGCAATGATATCGGTGCGTGCAAAAATACATACAGGAGTGAGGGCATTAGGATCTTAAGTGATGATTAACTGTGCCGTATGCAACTATTGAAAAATTGATTGGTACGTCATGAATTGAGAGGAATAAGAGTATAATTATCTTATTTTTAGGCATTTCCAGGTAGGCAAAAGCAATGGATCGCCATGCTTAGGAAATAAATCTTAGAGAATCGAGAGCACTAATTAATTAGATTATCTATAGAGCTTCCTGGTGGCTTGAACTTGATCGAGAAATGATACAAAAAATCGCCGAAAATAAATTTACACATCAAGCTATGTAAATGACGATTATCATCTAAGAAATTAATACAGGAATTATCCCGAATTAAAAATAAATTGGAAAATTAATAATTACAATTTTTATCAAAGAATCACTTACCATAGAGTAGGATTTTGTGAGAAAAATTGGATTTAATAACTAATTAATTGAGTGGACATTAATAAATTTTTAAGTA